TACGCACCCAGGTCCCTTACCTGGAAGCCACTAATACTATCCGTTCTTTTGGGAATATCTGCAGAGATGCAACCAAACACATAGTGGTTGCCTCCTTTTGAAAATAAATAACATTAAACCCAAACAGTTTTGCAGGATGTTTCCCACTCCTACATGCCCACATACAAGTATACTCAGTGCTTATGTGACCAGTCGACTCTGGACAGTTTTTATCCTTTTGTCATTAAAACAACGGTACAATGAGGACCGCTGCACATCTGTCGTCTTCATGTGAGTGTTGATGTAGGAAGAATTTCTAAAAGTGGGTTTGCTAGCTCAAGGATATGTGTACTTTATATCGTGAATAGCAAGCCCAGATTGTTCTTTAAAATCAATGTCCAATTTTATAGCCACAGCAATAGAAGAGTCTGTCACCCATCCCATTTTGTCAGCACAATTCATGATGAATCCATTAAAGCAAATTAAAGTTAGATTTCATTTTAAATGTGTGTCCTTGCAGAAGTTCCTGGCTATCCTTTGAGTTGAAAACCACCCCCAATATGCTGGGATGTTGACGTTCTGGGATTCTAAGCCTCTTGTCATAGAAAGACATTCTTGCTTGACTCCGAGCATCAAAGGCATGGGGTAAAAAAATTACTCCGTAATAAAGGGATACCTCAAGAAATAGATTTGAGTTTTGTGGGGCAACCTGCCGTTTTTAGACATGTTTAAACACATGGGTACTGGGTACATCCTGCAGTCCTAAGACTCTAAAGCATAACTGGCACCAGGGAGCTCAGTAAACATGTGGTTGGCCAGCCTGATGATTTGGGTCTAATTGGGGCACCTCACTATTTTAGGAAGGAGATCAGCTGGGCGGGTCAGAGAAATCATCTCTCAAGAAAGTCTACAGAGGTTTGAAGCCTGTCTCTTTCACTGTCAGCCGTGTGACTCTGGGCAAGTGATGTCACCCGAGTCTCGGATTTGGTTGTTGTGTGGTGCCAGCCACTTAGATCCGAGTCTCATGCGCAACAGAATGAAACACTGCCCGGTCCTGTGCCGTCCTCACAGTTGCTCTTGTCATTGAGTCCCCTGTTGCAGCCACCGTGTCCATCCATCTCATTGAGGGCCTTCCTCTTTGTCGCTGCCCCTCCACTTTACCAAGTATGATGTCCTCCTCCAGGGACTGGTCTCTCCTGACAGCCTATCCCAAAGTGTGTGAGATGACATTTCACCGTCATCTAGGGAATATTCTAAGGAGCATTGTGACCATAATTCTTGCAAGACTGATTGATTGTCCTTTTAGCAGCAGGCCATGGTGCTTTCAGTGCTCTTCTCCAGCAACACCCTTCACATGCAGCGATTCTTCTTCGGTCTTCCTCATTGCATGTCCAACTTTCACGTGCGTACGAGGCAGCTGAAAACACCACAGCCTAGGACTTGAGTCCTCAGGGTAACATCCTTGCTTCCCAGCATTGTAAAGAGGTTGGCGCAGCAGATCTGATGCCATGTGCTAGCTGATCTCTTGACTGCTGCTTCCACGAACATTGATTGTGGACCCTAGCAAGACAAAATTCTTGACAACTTCAATCTTTTCTCCATTTATCATATTGCCTATTGGTCCAGTTTTGAGGATTTTGGTCTTCCTCACATTGAGTTGTATTCCATACTGCAGGCTACAATCATTGATCTTCATCAGCAAGTGCTTCAAGTCTTCCTCACTTTCAGCAAGCAACGTTGTGTCATCTGCATATCGCGGGTTAATAAGCCTTCCTCCAATCCTGATGCCAAGTTCTTTTTCATAGAACCCAGCTTCTCTAATCATTTGCTCAGCACCCAAATTGAGCAAGTATGGTGAAGGACACAACCCTGACACACACCTTTTCTGATTTTAAACCATGCGGTGTGCCCTTGTTCCGTTCGCACAACTGCCTCTTGAACCACGCGCAGTGAAGTGTTCTGGAATTCCCTTCTCAACGTTATCCATAGTTTGTTTTGATTCACACAGTCAAGTACCTTTGCAGAGTCAAGAAATGCAAGTGAACATATTTCTAGCATTCTCTGCTTTAGGCCAAGATTCATCTGAGATTAGCAATGATAGTCTTTGTTTCATGTTTTCATCTGAATTCAACTTGAACTTGTAGTACAGTGGTTCTCAACCTGTGGGTTGCGACACCTTTGGAGGTCGAATGACCCTTTCACAGGGGTCGCCTGATTCATAACAGTAGCAAAATTATAGTTATGAAGTAGCAATGAAAAGAATTGTATGGTTGGGGGGTCACCACAACTGTATGAAAGGGTTGTGGCATTAGGAAGGTTGAGAACCACTGCTCTAGCAAGTTCCCTTTCAATGTATTGCTGCACCTGTTGTTGATCTCCAGGAAAGTTATTTGCTGATTTTGATGATATTGCTCTCTATATAATGTGTGCATTCTGCTGGGTCACCTTTCTTTGGAATGGGTACAAATGTGGATCTCTTCCAGTCAGTTGGCCAGGGAGCGGTCTTCCACGTGTCCTGGCACAGGCAAAATGAGTGCTGCCAGCGCTTCATCGGCTTATGAAGATACTTCAATGGGTATTCTGTCAATTCCTGGAGACTTATTTTTGGCTAAAGTTTCTGTAATCTGCTTTATGGTGGTGAGAGGATTAAATGGAACGGTGCCTGTTAACTTTCGGTACTCTCTCACTCGCTGCTCTCCAGCTGATGTTGACTCACAGCCCCCCTCTGGGGCAGAGAACTGCCCTACCGCTTCCCAAGATTGGACGTCTTTACTGCACTAGGGAGCCTCATCTTTCTCCTGGCGAGTGGCTGGTAGTTTCTACACCCTGACCTTGCAGTTAGCAGCCCCACGCATAACCCACCACGGTACCAGGGCTCTTTTTGACACTCTACCTGACAACCAACCTAGTGACTCCAGGAAACCAAAGGGACTCAGGCCAGCATCAGGCAGGTCACTCAGCTACGGCTGGGGAACTTTCAATCGAAGTGGGAAAAGTGAGCTGCCTGAATCTGGAGATCTTTTGTAGCAGATTTGCCCAAAGCACTGCTGCATGCTGTTTCCGGATTGCTGCTTCCATGGGTGTTTGGGAGCGCTTACAGATCACTTGCTACTTCGTGACTGTTCCCACTTTGACTCCAGACCAAGGTGCACCTGATCCAAGCCATGGTATTTTCCATCGTCTCAGAAGCACATGAATGTTGGACAGCAGATAAGGAAAACTGGAGAACAGACGCCTTTAATAATAATTATGGTGTTGGGGAAGAGTATTGAATATACCATGAATTGCCAGAACAAATCTGTTTTGGAGAAAGCACAGCCAAAACATTCCTGGAAAGGGAGGATGGCAAAACTGCACACATGCACTGTGGACCTGTCATTAGGAGGGGGCAGCCCTGGAGAAGGACATCATAGTCCATAAGTGGAGGATACGTGAAACACAGGAAGGCTCGCAAGGAGTGCCTGCAACAGTGGGCCCAATACAGCGACGGTTGTGAGGACGGCCCAGGACTGGGAAGCGTTTTACATTAAGGTGACCAGACGTCCCGCTTTTGGTGGGACAGTCCCGATTTTTAACAATTTGTCTCGCGTCCCTTTAAAAAAGTCCCGATTTTTGGAAAGAATGCACGACAAGCTAGGGAACGGCGGGAGAATGGGAAGGGAATATATGGTTTTCAGCTGCCATGTGGCTATTTCGCCAGGATATGAGTTTTATATTATTTTTGTTAATTTTATAATGTTAAACTTTAATAATAACAAATAATTGTTGAGAACTGCTTATCAAAGTTCACATTGTTG